CGCCTGGCACGTGCGCGCGGGGCACGTGTGTTTTCGCGTAGCCGCGGCCCCCAGGGCGGGACCCATGTTGCAGTCGACGGGGGAAGCAGGATGATGATGATGCTGATGCTGATGATGATGATGATGATGATGATGATGATGATGATGCTGATGATGATGATGATGATGCTGATACTAATAATAATAATAATAATAATAAGAATAAGAATAATAATAATAATAATAATAATAATAATAATAATAATAATAATGATGATGATGATGATGATGATGATGATGATGATGATGATGATGATGCTGGTGCTGGTGCTGGTGCTGATGAGGATGAGGATGAGGATGATGATGATGATGATGATGACGATGATGATGATGATGATGATGATGATGATGATGATGATGATGATGGTGCTGATGAGGATGAGGATGATGATGATGATGATGCTGCTGCTGATGCTGATGATGATGAGGATGCTGATGCTGATGCTGATGCTGATGATGATGATGATGACGATGATGATGCTGATGATGATGATGATGATGATGCTGATGCTGATGCGGATGCTGATGCTGATGATGCTGAGGATGATGATGCTGATGCTGATGCTGATGATGATGATGATGATGATGATGATGATGATGATGATGATGATGATGATGATGCTGATGACGATGATGATGATGATGCTGGTGCTGATGTTGATGCTGATGCTGATGATGATGATGGTGATGAGGACGCTGATGCTCATGATGAGGATGCTGATGGTGATGATGCTGATGATGAGGATGCTGATGATGATGATGCTGATGATGATGATGTTGGTGGTGGTGGTGATGCGGATCCTGATGATGCGGATGATCTGCTGCTGTTGATGGTGGTGACTATGATGACGATGGCGATGACGATGACTAGGATGAGGACGAGAATCGGGATGAGGATGAGGATGATGAGTATGAAGTTGAGGATGAGGATGACGATGAGGATGAGGAGGATGCCGATAATGAGGAGGATGACACTGTTGTTGCCGCTGATGATGATGATGCTGATGATGATGATGATGATGCGGAGCAGGAGGAGGAGGATGAGGAATCGGCAGGAGATAGTGGTGGCAGTCCAGAAGAGGGAAGGTGTGACACGCGTGTCAGACGAAAGTTTGGCTCAAATTCTCGTTTCGTGGATACCCTAGGTTCTTTCCACGACCGTAGGAGGATGAGGAGGGTGGCGAGCAGGAGGAGGAGGAGGAGGAGGAGGAGGAGGAGGAGGAGGAGGAGGAGGAGGAGGAGGAGGGGGAGAGGGAGAGGATGACACGAGGGAAAGGAGGAGGTGGATGACCAGTGCAAGCACATGACCCATCAGCGATGTTGGACCACCGCCCACCTGCAAGCTCCGTCTTCATAGGCCCCTACAGGGACTCATGTCCTTTGGGGGAAGTGCCCCGTTGGAAGACAACCGTTGGACGGTCTTGAAGCGTGCCAACACACCACTCTCGGAACTTCAACGCCACGAATCATACTGATTGTTGCGTCTTGACGATCCTGAGTGGTTCGAGGATGCCATCCCATCCCTGGGATTTCAACATCGTGGATCAACCTAACCGCTTCGCCCTGACAATCCCGATTCGTTCCAAAGCATCGTTTCTGGTACGTCAACCATGGGAATTCGTGACATGATTGCACATGCTGAAAACGAATGTGCTAAAGCGAGAGCCACATCTTGAAAAGGAGCCGCGTTCAATCCTTCGATCCGTGACGCTCTTGCAACTGCTTGATACGAATGTGCGCGGCGCCAGGGCGCGAGCCACATTTTGAAAACGACCCGCTCTCCATCCGTGAAACGGTTGCAATCTTTTACATCGGAAGTGCGTGGCGCCAGGACGAGAGCCACATTTCGAACACCGCCCGCCCTCCTTCCGCGAAGTTCCTGCAATTTGTTAAGACGAATGTTCGCGCGGCGCGAGGGCGCGGGCCACCTTTTGAGAACCGCCCGCCCTCAACGCGGGAACTTCTTGCAATTGTTTACAACGGGTGTGCTCGGCGCCACGGCGGGAGCCACATTTTGAAAAGGAGCCTCCCTACATCCGTTTGCAACGGTTGCCAATGTTCAGGTCGAATGTGTGCGGCGCTAAAGCGATAACCACATTTGGAAATCACCCGCCTTCAATCCGCGAAACGCTTGCAACTTGTTAAGACGAATGTGCGCGGCGCTAAGGCGAGAGTCACATTTAGAAACCCACCCGCCCTCCGCCATCCATCCGTGAAACTCTTGCAAATTTCAAGTTTCAGGATCAGAGAGGAAATCTCAGGCGAAACGCCCAGCCCGCTCGCCCTTTCAACCAGCCTCGGGGCGCGACAAGGGGGAGTTATTATAAGGAAACGAATTTCAGGATGCTATGGAGGTGGAGGACAGAGAGGAGAACAGGGAGGATGATTGGGCGGATAGGGAGGAGGGATGCGATGAGGAAGAGGATAGTGGGACGTGCCCGCCACTTCCGCAAATAAGCTAGGCACTTGCTCGTCGGCCTCATGCTGCCGCTCGTCGGCTACCGCGGCGCGACCCTGGACGACGGGACCAGCTGGAGGCCCGTACCTCGTGGTTCCTGCTCCTGTCCCAGTCTGGTCTGGCAGCAGGGGTCGGGTTGTCCTCCGACGGCACCTGTGCACGACCGCCACCGGCCCTGGCCGGGTCCATCCTGGGGCCCCGTGGTGGGGCACAGCCCCTCCCGGCCTCGGCCAGGGCGGCGTGCGCACCACGCCGTGGGTACCATCGTGCCTGCCCACGGCACTCCTGGGCGGTGCCCAGGAGTGCCGTGGGCAGGCACGATGGTGGCAGTGTGCAGATGCCTTCTGTGCAGGTGGGAAGGGGTGCGAAGACGGCCGTGTGCAGCGGCTGGTGGCCGCCAGGAAAGACCGCTTGATCTCGCCCACTCCGCTCGAGACTGAGGGCCGCTACCCTCGGGCCGCACCCATTCAGCGCCTGCTGTCCCCTGCCCCAGTACGGTCAAACTCACAGTAAGGACGCACGGATGTCCTCTGGGTGCCCTTGTGCCCTTACTGTCTCTGCGGCCCATCCTTCGCGGCTTTCACTGGCCAGCCCTTCAGGGTGTTGGCAGTCCGCCCCGCACCAAGTGCCGGCTTCGGCGTCCATGGCCCTTGCGTCCCTACCGCCCGTCCCTACCATGGATCTCGGCTGTCGAGTCCAGGACGGCGAGGTGGGGACCACTCTGGGCTCGGAAGGGTCTCGTTTTTCGGGCCGCTGCCGCCGAGATGTTCTCTCCCCCTGCAAGAATCAGGAGAGAAAGAAACACACACAGCCACAATCAACCGTCGACTCCCAGGGAAATATGGGAAAAAATATGGGAAGTGGGGGGGAAGACGAAAACCCAGAACATATGGGAACATATGGGGAATCCTTTCATTTGTGTGTATGTATTTGTGTGTCCCAGTGCCCCATTCAAAGCAGGCCGCGGAGCGCGCGCAGCGCGCACGGACCCGCCGCCCACCCCCCGCCCGCACGCGGCAGAGCCGCTCGGTCTGCCGCGGAGGCGCAGCAGGAGGCCGCGCCTGCCCCGGCAGCGTGCAGGCGCTTGGCAGGTTGCGTTGCATCTTCGGGGGACCTCGCCTGTCCCCAAAATTGGTGTCTTTTTTGTGTCCGACGCATGCTTGAGGCGGACTCGACGCGGACTCGGCATGGATTCGACGCGGCTTCGACACGGATTTGACACGGATCCGACGAGTGCGACATGGATTCGACACGGATTCGACGCGGATAGGACAGCGACGGGACAGGCAAGGTCCCCCGAGGATGCAACATAAGGCAGGCCGCGCTCGCGACGGCTCTGGAAAAGACACCGTTTCTCAGATCTGAGTTCGGCGGCGAGTGGGTTGGGGGGGGAAGTGAGGAGGAGGAGGCCTTCTCAGAAGGCGGCGGGGCTTCTCAGAGGCCCTCGCGCCCTCTGAGAAGTTCTCCCTGTCTTCGGGGAAGGCTCAGAAAACTTTTCAGAAGGCCGGGGGCTTCCGAACCTTCTGAGAAGACCTTCTCCTTCTCACTTCTCGATGATCCTCAGGACGTGTGTTAGCCCACTGTGTGTTGACCCCCTTCAGCCCAATCAGTAGATCATTACATCGCCTGGGTCGTGTCGATGGGCCTCGATGGACAAGCACACGTTGGGGCTGGCGCACGTTCTGAGGATCATCGAACTTCCCCCTCTCGCTCGCCGCCCATCTGAGTCGGAGAACTACAGTCGGGGCCCTGAAGAAGGAACCCTCTTCGTTGGGGAGGGGCTCCGTGTTCCTTGATAGTTTCGCAGCTTGCCTCAGGCTTTCCTTATGTTTTCGACAGGAAGTCGAAGGTTAACTTCTGGAAAAAAAGGGGCCTCGTTCCTTATTTAGGGTTCCTTAGGTCAAGGCCCCGACTGTAGTCGCTGCCGAGGCCCGCTGTGGCCGGAGAGCGGCCCCGCCGTTCCTGGCTCGGCGACCCGTGTGGTAGCACGACGTCCGCAGCAGCGGCAGCAGCTGCAGCAGCGGCAGCAGCGGTGGCAGCAGGGAGCATCGCCAGCGTTAAGTCGGGCACGTCCCTCTACAGGAGGAACATTCAAAAATAGCCAAACAAAAATAGTCAGGGGACGATTCTTTGATTCATTTTGACCGTTTCGGAGAATCGGTGGACTCACTTTTATTTTTCGTCCAGAATCCCCCTGTTGGAGGACAGGCCCGACCTGACACCAGGGGCAGCAGGTGCAGAAGCAGGACCAGCGGCAGCACGAGCAGCACCGGTGGCGCGTGGGCAGCAGCATCGACAGCGGGCGGTGCAGCACCGGCGGGTGCACGAGGGGGCGGAGGAGGATGGGTAGCAAGGGTGTCCGCGGTTCGGTCGGTTCGGCTGCGTGTTGGCGTCGCAGTCGGTTGCGTTCGGTGGGCTTCGGTCCTGCAAGGTCGCTGCGCCCTTCTAGGCTCGTTGCGGCCTGTCTGTTTCGGTTTCGCTGTCGTGTTGGTACTCCAGATTTCGTAATAAATGGAGGGGGGTCTCATTTCGGGGGGGGTCTCTTCCAGGCTATCTTGGAGGGCCTGGGGGGTCTGGGGACGATGTTTTGGAGGGTTCTCCCACGGGGGAGGTCTGAAATGGCTTGTCTTGGAGGGTCCAGACCCCCTCCCTTTTCTTACGAAATCTGGAGTAGGTTTTCGGTTGTGCTTTCGCCATGGGCGGCCTTGGGGGTAGCACGGGCAATCAACTCGAGCATGCTCGGCAGGCTTACCCATGGGAAGTTGTGGGAGGGGCATGCTCTCGTTGAAGGTGGGGCATCTGACGAACGAACAAGACACCCATACCCATAGGGAGGTCGTTGGGAGGAGGACTGGCTATGGGTATGGGTGCGGGTTGTTGGACCCTGGGGAACGCTCCCGTTCGAGCGGGGACCCCCATCCGACAACACGCACCCATAGCCCTCTCCGATCCCCCGATGGGTATGGGTGTGTGTGTGTGTGTGTTGTTGGTTCGTCAGCATCGCTTTGTGAACAGGGGGCAGGTGGGTGGGGAATGAAACGCGAACGTGATCGTGATGAGGAGAGAGCGCATTGCGACGAGGATGCGGACGATGTGAGGAGCTTCTCTGGAGGCTGAGGAGTGACATTGAGGATAGCTGATGGGGAGGATGTCGAGGATGTGTGTGATGAACAGGTGCGCTACAAGCTGATTTCGCTCCGCGAAGCATCAGGGAGTGGCGTTCTCAATCGGTTGGCCATACCGTGCGACAGGGAAAAGACGGCCGCTATTGGGAAGAACTTCTTTGGTGGAGTAAACACGGAGCGCAACTGGTGTGCCGCGTGCCTTCCTCATCCCCTTCACCCTCCCAGGAGGATTCGGACCGGGCATCTAGTATTGTGATATGGTTACATTTCCAGGTCGGCTGTCTGCTACCTCCGCGCTCCCCACCCGTGCAGCGCGGCGGTCGGGAGAAGTTGTTCAGTACCTGGTCTTGCCGTCCATCCCCTTGCACCAGCCTGAGTTGCTGTCTCTGCCTGCGCTGCTCGCGCCGCTGCCCGCGACGAGGGCGCGCATGATGTGGATATTCCACATTGGCAACCTGGTCAGCACCAGCGGGGAGGGTTTGGTTCTCTGCCGGCATCGGGGTGGGATTCGCGTCGGTGTAGGTCTGCAAGGAGTCGTCCTCCGCCTGCCCGCCGCCCACGGAGGCAGCCGCGGCCTGGTGGGCGTTCTCCCGAGAGGTCCCCGAGAGAGCCCAGGAGGGCACAGCGTTACGTCGGGCATGCCCCTCTACAGGGGGAATCTTCAAACATAGTCGAAAAATAATCTGGGGACTATTTTTTAGCATTTTTCCACCATTTTGGAGTATTGTTTGAATATTTTTCATTTTTCGTCGAAAATCCCCCTGTAGGGGGACACGCCCGACTTAAGCACAGCGACGCGAGCTCCCGAGCAGGAGGCCCAACGCGTGCCGCGCAAGAGCAGGATCTCCAAGTCCGTGGTAGCTCCGCGTACGTTTCCTCGGCGGCGAACATGCGCGGGGCGGTAAGTTGTTGGCACGAATCGGCCGTTGTCAGACTTCGCACGCCGCCAGGCCGTTAGGCAGGGAGCTTCGAACACTTACGTGCGCCTGCGTACGGTCGTCTCGCTGGGAGTGCGTCGAGGGTTGCCGTGCTTCTCTGTTTGTTTGTTTCATCCTTTGGATATCTTCACACCATCATGGTCTGTCTCTTGTAAGGGCATGCGTTAAAGCATACCTATCGATCGGCTTCTGAGTAGTATCCCGTGCTCTCGACCTCTTTTCGCATGCCTTCAGGCTCTCGGTGTTCTGTTATGTGGCGTAACAACATGGGGTGGCATCGATGCATCATTATCTGGGGTAAGAACCTGGGCAAACTCTGGAGGTTTGACAAGACCTGTCGCTGATGGGTGGTTCAGGGTTCGGGGCAGGGCTGCCTCGCACTCGTCTCATACTCGCTTGTGCCTCGGGCTTCGTGTGCCTTGCGGTCGTGCCGCAGCCGCTTCTTTCTCCGTCGCGCCACGGGGCACCACCTCGCCGCGTCGTGGCAGACCTGGCACAGCTCACCCAGCTTCGTGGCTTGGCCCGCTTCGTGCAGCGCGATGCGCGGGCTCACGCGGCACCCACCCGACCACGGGGGTGTGCCAGAGCGCCTCTCACGGGCACCGCCGGGAGTGTGCCAGAGCGCCTCTCAGGAGGATCCACCGCAAGGACGGCGTTTGGACAGGCTGGGCGAGCGGCCTTTCGAGAAACGCAGCAGCTGACGATATCGAAGCAGCAGCAGCAGCAGCACAGCATAGTATGAACCTCCCACCAGCTGTAGTTTCGAACGGTCAGAGATGAGGCAGGGCAGAGATCTCACAGAATCGGCCTCTCACCACTCTGAACTCCCAGAGATAGTACGGGATGAATAAGGCTTGTGGTGTTCGTTCTTAATGTTTTGAAGTGTTGTTGCCATGCTTTGTGGGTTTATTCTTTCATCCGGTTTGCATTGCTGCCCGCACGCGCGCGAAACCTTGTCTGGGTGACGCGTTGCCCACGACATGACCAAGGCCTCGGATATGATTTGTTTCGGTGATGTGGTTCGTGACCCTCATTTCCAGTTGCATTCATTATTCCGTTTTCAATCGGCCGAGCAGAGATCGGCAGGTTTCCCGCCGGCGCCGTAATCTTCGCATCCATGGTAGTCCGCCAGCATGTGGACCACTTCAAGCATACAACTTTTCCATTGATGACTGTCGCGGTGGGGAAACAGTTGCATGCAGTATTCCGTTGCGCTCTCCGAAGCGCATGGGGGTATCGTGTCACAGGAGCAGGCCCTTGGGGGGTGCGGCGCCCGCGAGGTCTTTGTGCTGGTGCACGCCGCCGTGCTGGTGGTAGTTGTCTTCCAGGCGGCGCTGCTTGCATCTTTGAGGTGTGCGCCAATGTGTCCACCGCCAGAGTCTGTTCGTCTTCACTGCCGCGGAGGTCGTGCCCCCGGATCTCGAGGAGCGGTGGATGTGGCCACCTGCCCGCCCGCGCTGGCGGGCGGGTATCCATATCCACTGCTCCCAGGGTACCCGGGACACGCTCTCGCGGTAGTGGATAGAGTGGAGGCCCATGCCCAGAGGTACCCTGTTTGCCTCCAGGGTGCCCTTGGCTTCCTGGGTTTCGATGGTTTTGCGATGGAAAGCGTGCCGTTCCCACACGAAAAGGCAATGGACGTCCTGAGGTCTCAGGGTTGGGTTTTTTGTGGAAGGTTTCTTGTGGATTGGTCTCCTTTGTAGTGGATGTGGACATCTTCTGGCGGCGCATACAAAGACGGAGGCAGTCTGGCTGGGGCAGGCAGGCCGACGCGCCTCCTGGGCGCTGCCGCCGGGACCGCGACCTCCGATTTGAGGGCGCGCGCAGCTCGACGCGGAGCCTTCCTCCCTAGCTCGCACGAGGGAGGACGACAGGGAGAAGAACGCGGAGGAGGAGGAGAAGGACGAGGAGGAGGAGGAGGAGGAGAAGGAAATATGAGGAGGAGAAGGAGGAGGAGGACCAGTGCAAGTCCAATAACCATCAACGAGGGTGCAATAAACCTTCCCTCCAGTGTCCTTCTTTATTAGTCCCTGCAAGGATTCGCTTTCACGGAGGGAAGTGCTCCGTCGGAAGGGAATTGTTTGAACATCCGGAACCGTTGCAAAACACTGTTCTTGGGACTTCAGCGCCGCGAAGCAACGTGATTGTTGCGTCCAGACGGCCCAGAATCATGCCAGAACCAGTCCTGGAACTGTAACGCCGCGAATCAACGTCAGTGTTGCGCACTGATAGTCCTGCATCGTGCCAGAGCGCCGTTGCTGGGCCTCCAACCATAAGAGTCCTCGAAGCTGGTGTTCACTCCCAAGACGAGTGTGCGCGGCGCTGAGGCGAGAGCCACATGTTGAAAAGAAACCGCCGTCCTTCAAGACGAACGTGCGCCGTGCTGAGGCGAGAGCCTCAGTTTGAAAACCGCCTGCCCTCCATCCGTGACATGGCTGCAAACTTTTGGGACGAATCTGCGCGGCGCTAAGCCGAGAGCCGTGCGTCGGGCCTCCTCGGATGCGCGCGCGCGCACGTGCCGCCTGCCACCTGGCACGGCCCTGGCGCCCGGCAGGCGGCAGAGACCCCGCGCTCCCGCCGCGCGCCCGCCGCGCGACCCCCCGCGCGACCCCCCGCGGGTGCGGGGCGCTCTGCTCGCGGATGCCCCGCGCGAGACGCGTCCGTGCGACCGCGCATCCCCCGGGAGCGCGCCTCGGAGTCCGGGTCGCGAGACTGCGGACGTAGATATCCCTCGCCGCTCGTGGCCCCCAGCGCGGTCGGGGCGCCACCGCCGGGCGGGTGCCGCCGCGCCCGCCGGGCCAGCGGCCGGCCAGCAGCTGCTCGAGGTGGGCCCCCAGATTTCTGACGATGTGAGCCTCGAGATTCCTGGCGCGGAGGAGGAGGAGGAGGAGGAGGAGGAGGAGGAGGAGGAGGACAAGCTAGGTGCGCTCGCGTCATATCTGACATCCTACCCCTCCCCCCCATCCCTTACCACGGCGTAGATCCCCTCTCTACTCGCACAGTCGGATGTCGAGCAGGGCAATGATCCCGAAAGGGTACGCGATACATTGTAGAGCACGGCATGGCATGGCGTAGAAGAGCACCGCAAAGCGTAATATCAACCTAGCATTGCATTGCATGCCGTGGCATGGCACGGGAAATGACGCCAGCGCTGCAGCGGGAGCACGAGTCGAAACGAGCGGAAGCGCGGAAATGAGGCCAGCGCTGCAGCGGGAGCACGATTCGGAACGAGCGGAAGCACGGAAATGAGGCCAGCGCTACAGCGGGAGCACGATTCGGAACGAGCGGTGCCCGAAAATGAGGCCGGCGCCTCAGCGAGAGCAGCATTTTGAAACAAATGCAGGCGAAAACCCAACTCCAGGGAAACCTGTGTGGAAAAAGACAGTACGCGGGGGAGGTCGAGCATTTTCAAACCGTCATCAGGGGAAGAGGGAGAGTTCATATTGAGTAATTGTGGAGGGGAGGAGGAGGAGGAGGAGGAGGGAGGAGGAGGAGGAGGAGGAGGAGGAGCTCCTCGATGCCTGCTGGGCTCCTGAGGCCCGCGCTCGGGCCCCCAGGCCCGTCGGCAGACTGGCCTCGGACGTGAGTGCCCCCGCAGAGGCCGCGGACGGACCAGGACTCTCTCATCGGATGTCTGGGCCGCAGCCGCAGGCCGCCGCCCGCCGCGGCCCCGGTCCCGGGGCGGCAGCCGACCAGCGGCCGCCCGAGATCGATCTGGCCGTGTGTTTTTCCTCCTCCCGCTCTTGCTCCTGCTCATGCTCCCTCCTCCTCCTGCTCCCTCTTCCTCCTCCTCCTCCTCCTCCTCCTCCTCCTCCTCCTCTTGCTCCCTCCTCGTGCTCCCTCCTCCTCCTCCTGCTCCTCCTTTCGCCCGTCGGCATCCGGTCCAGACCAGCTGTCCTCTGCTGCTTGGGCGGCCACCCTTGCTCCTCATCTTCCTTCGGAAGAGCTGCGCCGAAGTCACGAGCGGCAGACGCGATCCCGCGGATGCGGGCGCGATCCCGCGGATGCGCGGTCGCGCGGATGCGCGGTCGCGCGGATGCGTTCCGTATCCGCGGGGTCGCGGCCCAAGGGCCGGGCCCGCGAAGCCGCGGACACGGGCATGTTCTTCGCCCACGACGAAGCACATCATAACGCTCCACAGATGGGTCTCCAGACGCCGACGCCGCCGCCTCTCGTCGTCACTGTCGTCGTCGCCGTGGTCGTCGTGGCTGTGGTCGTGGTAGTCGTTGTCGCCGTCAACGTCGTCGCAGCCGTCCACGACCGGGGGGGGGAAAATGATGGCTCTGCCCGCCGCCGCCGCTACAGCCGCGGCTGGCGTCGTCGTCGTCGTCGTGGTCGCTCGTCGTTGTGTCGTCGTCGTTGTCGTCGTCGTCGTCGTCGTCGTCGTCGTCGTGGTCGCTGTTGCCGTCGTCGTCGCCGTCGCAGTCGCGGTCGTTGGCCTCGCCGCCCCCCTTGCCGCGGAGGTGTTGCAGGCCGAGGCGGCCAGCGTGGAGGCCATGTGCGACCTCTCCCCCGACAACGACCCGTGGCTCCGGCCGGCACGCCTCCGCCCGCCCGCCCCGCACCGAGGCCGCCGCCGTCGTCGCGGGTCGTCGTCGCTGCTCGGTGGTCCTCAGGACGAGCGTTATCTCGGGGGTGGACAGACCTCCTACCCTGACACGTCGATTAGTGAATTGGCCGTTTTCGGTTCGCGAGAGGGCGTCGCGGCCGTCATTTTTGCGGGTCCAGGTCCGTCGGTTTCGGTCCCAGGCCGTTTTCACTAAGGGGAGGTTTACTAAAGGGAGGTTTGTCCACCGCCGATTATCGTCGATAACACACGTCATAAGCTTGGCATCGCTCGGACGTGTGCATCTTTCCTTCGGCGAGGGCCATCGGGGAGCATCCTTGATCATCTGGCGAAAAGACCACGCACGAGACCGAACAAAAAACACAGGGAATGGACGTCCGAGCGATGGCGAGTAGGCACCATGAAGAAGAAGAGACAACGCTATCAACAGAAAGCTTTGGCGCTCCGCGCACATCTCCTGGATCCGCGCTGGGCCCCCCCGGCGGCGCCTCTGGCGCCGTTCCTGCGCGCCAGGGAGAGGGGTCCGGCGCAGATCCACGAAATCCGCGCGGAGCGCCACAAGTTTATCTTGATGTTTTTGTTTTCTTCTTCAGTTTTCTGTCGGGCCTGTCCCTCTACAAATAGTGTTGGGACGATTTGTTGAGTATGTTTTGACTATGTTTGAGCATTTTTTGGGCAGTCCTATGTTTTCCCGAGAATCCGCCTGTAGAGGGACATGCCCGACGGAAGTTTATGTTCATGGTGTTTTTTCTTTTTTATTTTAGCCCAAGCATCAGGCGATCGCAAACATGGATCCAGGGGGCGTGGAGTAGCGACGGGTCCCGTTTCCGTGGGACACCGCGGATTTCTGCCGCCGAGCGAGGCGGCACCGGCCGCATTTTTGGGGAGGGCACCCTCCCCCGATCCATGGATTTGGCCACCGTGCGCCATATCCAAGTATCGCTAATCCATGTTTGCGCGCCCCCGAAAGCGTGTGCCTCCCCGTCTGGCCCCGCCGACAGCGCGCAGCCCGTGCCGGCCCTCGGCCGTGCCGCCCGCGTGGTGCGGAAGGGCCGCGGTGGACTGGCACGCGCCGGCGCTGACACGCGCGCTCCGAGGAGCCTCGAGGTGCCGTCGGCGCCGCGCCCAGGGGGGAGGGTGGGGGGTTTCTCCGAAGGGGGCTTAGGTCGGGCCTGTCCCTCTACAGGAGGAATATTCAGTAATGGCAAGAAATGACTCTGGTTTTTTTGGATTGTTTTTTTGTCATGGTGGTATCTTTTTAACGTATTTTTGATGCTTCGACCAAAATCCGCCTGTAGGGGGACATGCCCGACCTAAGCTTAGGCTACCCGTCCTCCTTCTTCTCCTCCTCCTTCTTCCTCCTCCTCCTCGTTCTCCTCCTCCCCCTCCCCTTCCTTCACCTCCTCCTCCTCCTCCTTCTCCTCCTCCTCCTCCATTCCTTCTCCTCATAGATAGCTCCTCCCAGTCGCATCCCGAGGCCAGTTTTTAGGGCGGGCCGGGCGTTTCGCCTGAGACTTCCTCACCATTTATGACTCTGAAGCTTATGACTCTGAAGCTTTAAAGTGACAACAGTTTCACTGATGAAGGGCGGGTGGTTTTCAAACTGTGGCTCTCGCCTTAGCGCCGCGCACATTCGCTTTCTTCAATTTCAAGTGTTTCACGGATTGAGGGCGGGCCGTTTTCAAAATGTGGCTCTCGCCTTAGTGCCGCGCACACTCTTTTAAACAATTAGCAAGAGCTTCTCGGATTGAGGCGGGTCGTTTTCAATATGTGGCTCTCGCCTTAGCGCCGCCTACATTCGTTTCTAAAATTTGCAACAGTGTCATGGATTGAGGGCGGTTCATTTTCAAAGTGTGGTTCTCGCCTGAGTGCCGCGCACACTCTTTTTAATCATTTGCACGAGTTTCACGGATTGAGGGCGGTTCCTTTTCAAAATGTGGCTCTCGCCTTAGCGCCGCGCGCATTCGTCTTAAACATTTGCAAGAGTTTCACGGATCCCCATGATCAACGTATCAGAAATGGTGTTTTGGAAGAAGGATCCAGGATTATGCGGGTGCGGCAGTTATGTTGATTCGCGGTGTTGAGGTGCCAAAGGTTGCGCTCTGGCACGATTCTGGATCGTCAAGACGCAGCAGCTAGGTTGATACGTGGCGTTGTAATCCCGAAGACAATGTGTTGGCATGCTTCAGGATCTTCAAACGGTTATGCGCCGTTGTGGGGGCTTGTGAAGAGGGAGTTTGGAGGGAGGGTTAATGCCAACATCGTAGATGACTGTTGGTTTTACACTGGTCCTCCTCCTCCTCCTCCTCCTCCTTGGGTCGCCTACGTCCCCGGGTGGAACCCGCGTAGGGGAGGGCGGAGTGCGCGAGCCTCGATGGAGAAGCACACGCTGGCGCTGACACGCACGCTCCGAGGAGCATCGAGGTATACCGTCGGCGCCGCGTCCCAGGGGGGAGGGTGGGGGTTTCTCCGAAGGGCTTAAGTCGGGCCTGTCCCTCTACAGGAGGAATATTCAGAAATGGCAAAACACATACTCTGTTTTTTATTGTTTGTTTGTCATGTTGGTCTTTTTAAACATATGTTTCATGTTTCGCCTAAAATCCGCCTGTAGGGGGACATGCCCGACCTAAACTTAGGCTACCCGTCCTTCTTCTCCCTACTCCTCCTTCTCTCAGAGTGCGCGAGCCTTCTCTCAGAAGGCTCCGGGGGCCTCCGGCCTTCTCGGAGAGGCTTTCCCGACGAGCCTTCCCCGCGGCTGCGGGCGGCGCCTCGCCAGGCCAGGGGGGGTTCTCTGGGACGCCCCGCACGCCTTCCGAGGAGCCCCGCCTCCGCTCGCTTCCCTCCTCGGCGCGCCGACGAGACCCTTGGCATCGCTTGGACGTGTGCATTTTTCCTTCGGCGAGGACCATCGAGGAGCATCCTAGACCATTGGGCGAAAAAAACACGCACGGAACCGAAAAAAACACAGGGAATGGACGTCCGAGCGATGGCAGGCTGTCGTGGCTGTCTTCCCCGTGGAGTTTCTTAAGGAGCGTCGGGGGGACGTCACCCCCGCCGACGGCCCCATATCGACCCCCGTCGCGGGCAGTCGCCGCGCGCCGAAGGCGCTCCGAGCCCCGTCGCGGCGCGACGACGAGGCGAGGTGGACCCCCGTCGGGGGGGGATACCCCCCCACGCTTATTGAGAAACCCAGAGTGCGCTTGCGCTTGTTTCTGGCAAGTTTGACGGCCTTTAACACCTCGTGCTGATTCTAGCAGGAAGCGAGATGCGCCTGGCGGCTGGCTGTAGCCTGCCAAGCAGGAGTCGTGGTGGTGGTGTTGGTCGCCGTTCTCGAGGACCTCCTGCCCCCTCCGTCTCCTGTTGGGATCAAGGATCGATGTTTTCTGGGTCTTCTCGGGCGCTCTCGTGGCCGCAGCTGGATCAGCCTTGGAATTCTGGCCACCACGGACCCCATGAGAGGTCCGTGTGCTGATTTCTGAGGGATGAGGGGGAGGGCAAGCAGGAGGAGGAGGAGGAGGAGGAGGAGGAGAAGGATGAGGAGGAGGAGGAGGAGTCCTCTTCCTCCGCCTCCTCATCATTCCCCTCCTGCCCCCTCTTAATCCCCCCCTTCCCTTCCTCCCCTTCCCCATCGTTGCCCCCTCTTGCTGCTCATCCCCTGCTTACGCCTCCATGATTGCCTCGCCGCTCTTCCCCTCCTCATTCCCCTCTCCCCCTCCCCTCTTCACCCGAGAACCTGCAGATGCTTCGGAGGACCGCACACGAATTCCGATGACGACGACGACGCGACGGCGACACCGACTGCGCCGTCGACGCCGACGGCGCCGACTCCGACGACTCCGACGCTGAAGGCGGCGACGACGACGACGGGCACGGCAGAGGCGACTGCGGCGCCACTCCGACGACGGCGACGCGGCGGCAACGACGGCGGCCACGACAACGGCGACGCGGCGGCAACGACGGCGGCCACGACAACGACGGCGACGGGGACTTTGACTCCGACGACGGCGGCGGCGGCGGTGACGACGGCGACCGTGGGCGGCCAGACCTCCTCCAGCGCGGGCGCTCAGGCGGGCTCGCCGGGCCCGGAGGTGCTGCCCACCATGCCGCCCAAGGCGCCCGCGGTGCGTCGCGTGGATGTGGCGGGAACCCTGGCGCCGCGGGCGCTCGAGGCTGAGGAGAGCCGCCAGTGGGCCCAGACTCGGCCGGGGTCGAACGCTCTGCGCGCTCGGGGCGAGCCTCGGCCGCCGAAGGGTCGAACGACCAGCGGTGTGGGGGAGTCGCCGCCGACGCCGCCGCGGCGCCAGCTCGGCCAGGGGCCTGGCATCGCTTGGACGTGTGCATTTTTTCTCGCGGCGAGAACCATCGAGGACCACCCTGGACCAACGAGCAAAACGAGCAAAAAAAACACGCACGAAACCGAAACATGCACGGGAAATGGACGTCCGAGCGATGGCGAGGGGGGGGGGACCACATCCGACCCGGCAGGCGCGGGGTCGGCCCGGCCAGGGTCGGCGAGCCGGGGTCCCCGAGGGCCTTCCAGGCTGCCCCGCGCGGCTCGGTCGGTGCGGCTGCGCCGCCGCCGGTCGCGTTCGCTTCGGTTCGGTCGGTGGCCGCGGCGCTGCCGCGCCGCCGCGCCCTTTCATCAGAGCGTGAATGACCTACCCCGCTTTCGCTTCCAGGCAAAACCAAGTCATGCCACGCGCCTCCTCGTCAAGCGGCCTGACCAGTACAGGCCGTAGTTTGGCATCGCTTGGTATCTCTTGGAAGCGAGGGTGGTCAAAAGCGAGGTAGGTTTGTTTGCCCCCTATTTCAGGCCGCCCGCGGCCTGTCGGTTTCGGTGCGCCTGGGTCTCGCTGCCAGCTCGGGCGGTTCTCGGCCGCGCTGTCGCCGCGGGCGGGCGGCCGTGGGTCTTCGGGCGCCAGCTCCGCCACGAGCAGGCACCGATCCTGGCCCAGGAAGGGCTTGGCCAGGGTTGGTTGAGGCGTGTAGCCTAATTGACGTCCTCCTGACATCACCAGGCGGGGCTAGGGCCAGCATGATCGTTCCTGAGCGTTCCAGAACGCTATCAGAGCGATCCGCAGAGCTCTGCTACGGCCGCGGCGCCCGATGCATCCTCCAGAACCGCCGGATCTCAGGAATGCCCGATCTATCTCGATCCGATTTTTGTCTGGATCCCAGCTTCGTCTCATGTCAGCGCACCTCCAGGTGCAATGCACTCCTAAATGCGAGTCGCTTGTTTCCACGTTCGTGCCAAATGTACCTTGGACGCGGTCGGTGCGCCCTCCCTTGGCAGGCCATTGTCGTTCTCAAGGGTTCGCACGGGTTTCTGGAGGTTTGCGGACGTTGCCAGGTGTCTCTGCTGTTTCTGTTATATAGCTGTAATATTTCTAGTGCTTGTGGTTTTTCTTAAGTTTTTCTGGGGGGCGGCGGGGCAGTTTGAGGTGGTTCTTTGGGGAGGAGGAAACAGGTTGAGATGGGAAGGAGGGTGAAGAGGGGGATCATGATGATGATGGTGATGATGATGATGATGATGATGATGATGATGCCGATGGTGGTGGTGGTGGTGGTGATGGTGGTGTAGATGAAGACGACGACCACGACGACGACGGCGATGGCAGTGACGATGACGACGGCGATGACGAGGGTGATGATGATGATGAAAGTGATGATGGTGATGATGCTGGTGGTGGTGCTGCTGCTGCTGCTGCTGATGATGATGATGATGATGGTGATGATGATGATGATGATGATGATGATGTCGCTGATGATGATGACGACGACGATGACCAGGGCATGCCGATGAAGAATATTCTGACGAGTGACCAGGTGGATGATGATTTTGATGATGATGATGGTGATGATGATGAGGAGGAGGAGGAGGAGAAGAATGAAGAGAAGGGGGAGGACGGAAAGCAACGGAGAGCATGGAGGTCCCATATTGATGTAGATATTAATGACCATGAGGATGAGGTTTAGGATGAGGATGACGATGCTGGCGATGTTGATGATGTTAATGAGGATTGATGTCAATGATGGCGATGCTGTTCATGACGACGGCGGTGATGATGATGATGATGCTGATGATGATGATGATGAGGATGATGATGATGATGCGGATGCTGATGCTGATGATACTGATGCTGTTGTCGTTGTTGTTGTTGTTGTTGAGGATGATTATGATGATGACGATGACGATCACGATGTCGTTCATGTTGCAGTGGTGGTTGTTGCTGATTGTGGTGCTGGTGATGGTGGTGATGCTAATGATGATCCTTCCGATGACGATTGATGATGTCGATGATGATGAGGAGGACGATGCTGATGATGATCATGATGCTGATGATGATGATGATGATGATGATGATGATGATGATGATGGTGATGGTGATGATGATGGTGATGAGGATGACGACGTCGAGCATGATGATGATGATGATGATGGTGGTGATGCTGATGCTGATGCTGCTGCTGATGATGCTGATGCTGATGCTGATGCTGATGCTGATGCTGATGCTGATGATGATGATGATGATGATGATGATGATGATGATGATGATGATGACGACAGGGCGGTGGTGGTATGATGACGCTGACAATATTTTTGTTGCTGATGATGATGCTGATGATGCCGATGTTGTGGCCTTCTTGTCATCCGCAAGTTCCTCCAATTAACCAGCTTCCGATTTCCGATTTAAAGTTATTCGCGCTTCGCGTATCCCCATCAGCCCTTTCAGAACGGCTGCCCATGAGAGCTGACGGGAAATGAGGGAATGGGCACATATAGTGAATTAGAGCGGGGAATCATTGTAGATTCAGGATGCGAAGGAGATGGAGGAGGGGAGGAGGAGGAGGAGGAGGAAATAGGAGGAGGAGGACGAGGAGGAAGAGGAGGAAGAGAAGGATATGGACGACGACAAGAGTACAGCGTGTCCCCGGTTCCGTTCGGTTCGTTTCGGTTCGGGGGAAATTGGTTCGGTTCAGTACGGTTCCGGTATCGGAGCTGTTTGAGGCGGTTCCCATTCAGAGGGCGGTTCCGTTTCAGCCGGTTCCATTGCGGTTCTCGGTTTTTGCAGATGACGTGTGCGCGCGTGCGTCTACATGATCATATGGAGGCGTGTGGAGGTTCAGTTCAACCAGGAGTCAGGAGGAACCTTGGGGCCAGGGGAGCCACTGGGCCCAGCTACCCGACGAGCCAGGGGAGCCATTGGGCCCATACGTTAAGCATGGTGCCCTCGACGGACCAGTCGACAGCATCGTGTCCCCTGGACCAGGGGGCTCAGGCGACAGCGGGCGATTCCTCAGCGCCAGGATAGAAAACGCTTGGACTACGGTCTGGGACAGTACGGACCACTCACTCCTGGCATGGGTCATCCTAAACGACAACTGGGAAGGCAAGGGCGCCGCCCGCGCCCTCGCCGGGCGCGCGCAGGATGGTGGGGGCCCAGCTCCGGCCGCCGTCCCCAGTTCGGCCCTGGAGGCCCCGAGGGCCCCTGGAAGCCCAAGGCGCATTTTCGAACCGTCCAAAAACGCGATTTGAGCTTTTCCGCCGCCCTTCCGTCCCAGCGCAGCCCTGGGGGCTCCGAAAACCACCTGGAGGCCCAAAACGCATTTTCGAACCGCCCAAAAATGCGATTTGAGCCTTGTCAGCCGCCCTTCCGTCCCAGCGCAGCCTTGGAGGCCCCGAAAATCACTTGGAGGCCCAAAGCGCATATTCGAACCGTCCAAACATGCGATTTGAGCTTTTCCGCCGCCCTTCCGCCCCCAGTTCGGCCCTGGACAAGCAGCAAAACAGGACGAGGGAACTCGGGGGCGCAGGGGAGGAGTTGGGAGCGGGTGGGATGGACCTAGCGCAACAGTGGGCGCTCGCATCGGGCAGTTCCGAAGGGTCCGCCTCCACGACCGGTTCCCGGTTCGGTTCCCGGTTCGGGCCCGGTTCGGTCCCGCCGCCTCCGGTTCGGCTTGGTCTCGGCTCACGTCGGGTTTCTGACGGGTTCCGTCTCCGTCGGTTCTTTTTGTGGGTGAGTACGAGGTGGAGGAAGAGGAATACTAATAATAATAATAATAATAATAACGATAAGAAGAATACTGGTACTACTACCAATACGAAGATTAAGAATATTAGTAAGAATAATAATGATAATACGAATAAGAAGAATAGCACTACTATAAAACATAATAAACGAACATGTTAATATCCATAACACCAAAAACAATAATAATACGAATACTAATACTAATACAAGTAATACTAATATTACTACTAATACTACTAATACTAACTAATACTAATACGAATACTAATACTAATACTAATACTAATACTAATACTAATACTAATACGAATACTGATGATAATAGTAATACTAATACTTCTAATAATAATATTAACAATACTAATAATACTAATACTATTAATAATAATAATCAGAATACTAATAATAATACTACTAATGATAATACGAATAGTAATAATACTAATCATAATAATAACACGAATAATAATACGAATATTACTGATACTATTACTAGTAATAATACTAATAATACTAATACTACTACTACTACTGCTACTACTACTACTACTGCTACTACTACTACTACTACTATTACTACTACTACTACTACTACTACTACTACTACTACTACTACTACTACTACTACGACTACTAATGATAATACTAATAGTACTAATAATAATAATACTAATACTAATACTAATAATAACAAAAATAATACTACTACGAATACTAATAATAGTTAGACTAATACTAATAATAGGAGGACAAGGACGAGGAGGATGAGGATGAGGAGGATGACGAGGACGAGGAGAAGGACGAGGAGAAGGACGATGACAAGGACGATGACGAGGAGGGGGACGAGGGCGAGGCGGAGGGCGAGGAACAGGACGACCACGAAAAGGATGACGAGGAGGAGGAAGAGGAGGAGGAGGAGGAGGAGGAGGAGAGGAGGAGGAGGAGGAGGAGGAAATAGGAGGAGGAGGAGGAGGAGGAAGAGGGAGGGAGGGGAGGGAGGGAGAGAGGGAGGAGGGAGGAGGAGGAGGGAGAGGGAGGAGGGGGGAGGAGGGAGGAGGAGGGAGGAGGGAGGAGGAGGAGGGAGGAGGAGGAGGGAGGAGGGAGGAGAGAGAGGAGGAGGGAGGAGAGGAGGGAGGATGGGAGGAGGGAGGAGGAGGAGGGAGGAGGGAGGAGGGAGGAGGCGGGAGGAGGGAGGAGAGAGGAGGGAGGAGGGAGGATAGAGGAGGAGGAGGAGGAAGGAGGAGGAGGAGGAGGAGGAGGAGAGGAGGAGGAGGAGGAGGAGGAGGAGGAGGAGGAGGCGGAGGAGGAGGCGGAGGCGGAGGCGGAGGCGGAGGAGGAGGCGGAGGCGGAGGCGGAGGCGGAGGCGGAGGCGGAGGCGGAGGTGAAGGAGGAGGAGGAGGAGGAGGAGGAGGAGGAGGAGGAGGAGGAGGAGGACGACAGGGACGAGGGGGATGAGGTCGAGGACTCTGCCAGCCATCTTGGGATCTTCTTGAGGCCCTCTTGGGGTCCTCTCGTGGCTCTCTCGGGGCCCTCTTGGAGCCCTCTTGGGGCTCCTTTGGGGGGTCTTGGGGTCCTCCTGGTGCTAGTTTGGGGAGGTCTTGGGGCCCGCTGGGGGCTCCCTTGGGGCTCTGGCCTCGACGCTCCGGCCTCGAGCCCTCCGGCCTGGCGGGGTTGGAGGCGTAGCCTTTGCCCTCAGTCCCGCTGGCTCCCCAGCGTGTGGCCAGGCGGGGCCGTCCAGACTCCCACTCGCCGCGGGCGTCGCAAGCATGCTCGGGCGCCAGCAGGCACGGCTACGCCGGCCCCCCTCTCCGAGGCCCCCGGTCAGGCAGCGCCGCAGCGACCTGCTCGAGTTTGCAGCGGGTCCCGAGAAACGTTTCCCGACTCGTTCCCAACACGCGTGCCTGAAACCTCTCCGCAGCTCCCTCGCAGCCCTTGGTGCCCTGAGATCCTCGGCTCGGCGCGGCTCCTCCGGGCAGCGCGCCCTCGCCTCGACGAGGCCCGCTCCCGCCTCGGCGACGAGGTCGGGGCCCCCAGCCTGCAGCCTCGGCCTCGAAATCCTTCAGGTCGAGGCGCTTGCCGCCGGCCACGCGCAGGGTCAGATAGCCGCGGCGGTGGTGGCGGTGTGGCTTCCCTGGTGGCCCCCGCGGCGGCCTTGGCGGCAGCCCTGCTGGCGGCGGCCCCGACGGTAACTCCGGCGGCGGCCCGGCGGCGACCAGGCGGCGGCCCCAGCGGCCGCCCCGGTGGCGGCTTCGGCGGGGAACGTGACGACGGCGGCAACTGCGCTCCCTGCTCCGACGACGACACCGACGACGACGGCGACGACGCCCGCCTTCCGCCACGCCCCGACGACGCCGACGAGACCAGCGACACCGGCGGCGACCCTGGCTGCTTCGGCGGGAAAAAAGACGGCCGCAACCGCGCCCCCCGCTCCGACGACGACGACACCGACGACGGCGACGACGCCCGCCGACCGCCCCGCCCCGACGACGCCGACGAGACCAGCGCCAACGAAGACGACGCCCAGGCTGGTGGCGACTTCATTCTCACGTGTCCCCCTGCCCTCCCCCCTGGCGGCGGCGGTGGCCTCCTGGAAGCGGCGGGCGCTGGCGGCGATGACCTCCTGTCGGAGGCGCCCGGCGGCGTGGCACCCCCTGCCTTGTCGAACAAACGGCTCCTGGACAACGTCGCGGCGGCCGCGGGAAAGCAACGCCGCGCGTGGTCTCCAAGGCGCCCCCCTGGCGACCCCCGACCTTGGTCGGGCGGCGGCGACGGCGGCTTCCGCCAGGGCGGCGAGGCGGCGGCTTTGCGTCGCGGCGGCGCCAGCGGAAGGGCGGCGGACCCGACCGCGGTGGCTCCGCCCTGGCTTTGGGCCCCGCGACGACGACCCCCCGACCCTCCGACCCCTGGGCCCCTCGCTGGTGGTGGTGGTCCTGGTGGCGGCGGTGGCGTTTGCGCCTTTGTGGCCATTGCCTGACGCGAGGGATCTCCCCTCCTCGCTTGTGTCCTCCTCTCGCCTCCGTCCGTAGGCCGTAGCTGCGCGTAGTGACGGCGGCGGGCCGTGCGGCCCCCGTCGTAACTTACGGCAGGCTGGGCGGCGGTCTGGGCGGCGGTCTGGGCTGGCAGTCTGGGCGGTGGCCCCTTCGGCCGCCTCGCGTCTCCAACTGCTGGCACCGCCGTAATCCTGGCGGCGCGCCCGGATTTTATGTTTCATATTCGCATTCAGTCGGGCCTGTCCCTCTACAGGGGGAGACAGGGGGAACATTCAAAAATAGCTATATGAAAATAGTCTGGGGGCGATTTTGGGAATATTTGTGGGCATGTTTTGAATATGTTTAGACTCTTACTGACTTTCCGTCCACTGTCCGCTCGTAGGGGGACATGCCCGACCTAATGCTAGCAGCCAAGACTCAGAGCGTGAATTACCTATCTCGCTTTCGCTTCCAGGCAAAACCAAGCGATGGCGGTCAAAAGCCAGGCAGGTTCGTTTGCCCCCCAAAGACTGGCGTCTTGCGGAGTCCTGGAGGCCACCCTGGACTCTGGGGGCCATCCTGGAGGGGGCCATCCTGGAGGGGGCCCTGTGCCCCCTAAAGACTGTAGGGACCATCCTGGAGGGGGCCATCCTGGAGGGGGCCCTCTTGGAGGGGGCCCTCCTGGAGGGGGCCCTGTGCCCCGTAAAGGCTGTGTGGGGGCCATCCTGGAGGCCGCCGGCCCTGTCGCGGGGCGGTCCCAGCCCCCCCTCCTCGCGAGCCGTCGCGGGGCCGCCTCTCGGGCCCTTGTGTGGGGCGCTCCCGGGCGCTCTGGCGGGGCCGCGCCGCGGGGGGGGGCCTCGCGGGCCCCTCTCGTGGGGGCTCGCCTTCGGGCCACCGTGGGGCCACACCCTGAGGCTCCAAGAGCGCCTCGGGGGCGAAAGGGCAAGCACGCAACAATCCTTGTTTATTCCGGGTCTGTGTGTGTGTGTGTGCGTGTGTGATGTGGGCCTTTGTGGGGGGGGGGCTCCAGGAAGACTTGGAGCGTCTTGGAGCGGTCCTCGGAGCCTCTTGGAGCATGCTGCACTCCATCTTCGGCCATCTTGTGCCATCTTGGAAGCCCCCTTGGAGCATCGGACGCCCTCTTGGAACCATCTTGGGCCATCTTGGGCGCCCTGACCGCTCGCGCCCCCCCCCCCCCCCAGAATTACATCAGGGAAGGGAAAGGGAGGATACCCCTCCCCGAAGAGAAGAGGGGCTGTGGAAGAGGAGAGAGCGATTTCGTTAGACCGCCTACTTGCAAAGGGCTGGCTGGTGGGGTTCCAGGTCCTCTGTGACACGCGCCCGCGGACAGACGCAGCACCAGCGCCAAGGGAGCGGATGGGAGCAAGGGACAGGATATCCGAGATGGAGCGAGCGCACCTAGCTTGCCCTCTCTCAGGGGGGAAAAACACAGACACAATTAACCGTCGATTCCCAGGAAAATATGGGAAAATCTGGGAAGTGGGGAGGAAACGAAAACCGAGAAAATTTTAGGAAATGTGGGGAATGTGATTTGTGTGTATTTATTTGCGTGTCCCAGGGCCCCTTCACTCTCCCCCTCTCCCCCTCTCCCCCTTCTCACCTCCCCGCCTCTTCCTTTCTCCTCGTCAATCCTTTTTCCTTCTTATCCCGCCAGCCGTCGCCCAACGGCAGCTCAGCCGCCGCCTGGCGGTGGCCCAGCCGCCGACAGGCGGCGGTGCAGCCGTCGCCAGACGGGGGTAAGAGCTGTCATCCCCAGCTGTTTCTTCACGGTTCTGGGGCCCGGTGATGGGCCCCCAGAGGCTGAAGATTTCCACGACCCTCCCGTCGACATGTTTTACGAGGGCAAGAGATCATGGTAGTGGACCCCCTCCGAGCCCCCCCCCATGTCGGATCGAGGGCCGCTACAGGAGCGTCTCGACGAAGCAGGGCAGATCCAGGATAGGCAGGGGGACGCGGTCGATCACGCGGTGGGCGACACCACACGGATTGGGAGGAGGAGCGGGGAGGAGTTGGGCCGAGTTGAGCCCCGGCCGAGATAATCCGGCCGAGTTCGTCGGGGTCCGAGTTGAGCCGGCCGAGTTCACCCGGGCGAGTCGGTCCCAGCCGAGTTGAGCCGGCCGAGTTGAGCCCGGCCGAATTTTAACCGAAGCGTTCCTGCCCCAGACAAGCTCAAAAAGGTTTAGACAGACACAAGGGAAGCCCCGGAAATTCCACGAAAGCCCACGACGCAGACAGGCTAGACAGCGCTCGGGGCATCCCCCCGCCTCGCCCAGGCCGATCCGGCGGCCTGCGCCATGCTGGTCCAGGAGGACGGCCTGCCCGCGCTGCACTCGTGGGCCACCCCCCTGCCCCCCCCGCGGACCGCGGAGGCCCAACCGCATGCTGCACTCGGGGGCTACGTTGAGTCGCGCCTGTCCCTCTACAGGGGGAATACTCCAAAATAGTCAAAATATAGTCTGGGGACAGTTTTTGTTTCACAATTCTTGGTTGTTTTGGATTATTTGTTGACTATGTTTTGATTTTTCGCCCCAAATCCGCCTGTAAGGGGACGTACCCGACCTAAGGCTACGTCGGATGCAGCCCCTGGGAGGTTGAGTTCGGCATCGGTGCTGCTTTACAGCCCTTAGCCGTTCTCGCGAAGACCATCCAGAAGTTGCCGCCTGCGGCTACTTCAGGGTGGGCAAGGTGCTCCACAGTGGAGACGCCTTTGTCTCGGAATCGAGCTTCGAGATGTTTGGGCGTTCCCGTCGTTTCTCGGTGGTTCTCCAGCCTCGGGGTGCCATGTGGCCGCGCCTCGCCGAGAGCGCTCGGGGGGCGTCGAGACGGTCCCGATCGGCCGCCAGAGAGTCGAGTTATGACTCGAAAGACGGGGGGGCAATGTCAGGGGGGATGTGCTCAGGGGGGAACGCTGGAGGGTTTCTCCGAAGGGCTCAGGCGACCCGTCCTCCTCCTCCTCCTCCTCCTCCTCCTCCTCCTCCCCCTCCTCCTCCTCCTCCTCTTCCTCCTCCTCATCCTCCTCCTCCTCCAGCCGCCGCTCTGGCACACAGGAGCGACGGGCGGCAGGGGGAGGCAGGCCACGAGGCCTCCCGCTGGGCACCAGGCGGGCGAGAGTGCGCGCAATGGTGCGGCCCGTGGGCCAGTGGGCGCTGCGTGTACTCGGGTTCAACCCGCTGTGCGCCACGGGCACCAGGATGCAGGAGATCGTTCAGAGCTGCGCGAACATGGATCTGGTATTGTTGGCAGGCACCCAGAGGAGTCATCGCAGAGTAGAAGAGGTGCTTACCACCCGAGTACAACATCGGTTCATATTAGAAGCTGAAGCGACAACATCGCAGTTTTCTAACAAGTCCACAGGATGTGCGATCATATTAGGCAGCAAGTTCAATGAGAAGCATGTGAGACAAGTGTGGGCTAGTCCACCTGAGGCGGGAGGGAGGGCGGTCGCTGCTCGTATTCGTCGAGGTCCGTTGGACTTAGCTGCAGTGGCAATGTACCTACCGCCCCAACCGAAATATGCAGCGGAACAGCCCCAGTATATGGCCACGGTGAAGTTGATTGGATCATGGTACGAGAACATACTTCAGAGCCTACCGTGTCGATGCATACCGCTGGTGTACGTAGACCTCAATGATGGCCAGGGGATCTCACGAATATCGGGCAAGTGGACGAGTATTGAGTCAACGGCGGTGGGCGAGGGAAGGTGCAGAGAACAACGCAGAGGAGGAGCTGGTGCAGTATTCAGGCTCATCAACCAACGACAGCACATGTTCGCGATGAATACGCTGAAGAACAAGTTGGAGCACACATGGTACGGCGCGAAGGGCGTAAGCAGTTGTATAGATTATCTTTTCCTCCCGACTGGAATGATTGATATGGTTTCAAGATGTTCCCCTTTATTTGGATTGGGTGCAGAATTACAGGCATATCGAGGGCCACCACCACGGGACCATGTCCCCTTATACGTCGAGTTGCAGGGTATGCAGCCACTGGAACGGGAAGCAAACTCGACGGAGACGAGAACGCGCTGGAATCTCGATGATATGATGAGGTGCCTACGAAAAGGACATCGTAGGGGCGAGTTTCTTTCGGCGGTAGAGGCGTCGTTGGATGAGAGCGAGGACACATGGAGGGCTATGCTGTCCATGGGCCGACCTGACGAGATCTTCAAACACATGGAGGACACCCTCGTGAAGGCGGGACAGCAGTACTTCGGTCACCACGTGTCCAGCGATCCTTTGCATCGGCAGGAGGCCTCGGAGCGGGCCGAACTTCTTCGGGAGCGAGCTCGCCTTCGTAGATCGCGAGTGGGTATGAACGAGGAGGATGAAGCATTGGCAGAATGTGAATCGAGACTGGCGCAGCTAAGTCAGAAGTTACGACGTCGGCGGCAGCATTTTGCTCGAGTCCGACAGCAGGGCCTACTTGAGGAGATCGAGGAGGCTTGGGGACGACGTCATATGGCCGAAGCGACGCGGCTATCACGGGCAGCAGCTCATTGTCGTTATGGTCCAAAGCGTCGAGACGGCAGGCTGCTCCGTGGAGGTCATCTTACTTCAGAGGTTTTGATTAACCATTGGTCGCAGGCAGGTTGTGAAGGTGGAATGTCAGCATCTGTGATTCCAGATTATGAGGAATGGTTGGGGTCTTTTCCTGCAGGTCCCATACCTTATATTTCGGCAGAAGATTGTATATTGGCAGAGGAAGACAAGCAGCGGGTGACTAAGTATTTTCGCTCGGCCACGAAGCGTCGGGCAGTGCCGACGGGCACGACACCAGCTGAACTATGGCTTCTTTGCCTACGGCCGATGGCAAATATTAGCGCAGAGGGGCAGGGTTTGGGCTTCCAGCAGGAGTTTCCAGAGATGAAGTTGTTCGGGAAAATCTTGGAAGGGGGACTTCGCTTGATCAGGGCAACGAATAGGACACCGATGAGATGGCACTGTAGTTCGGGGGCACAATTACGAAAAAAACGCGAAACCAGGACCCTCGGGAAGGAGAACGGTTCACGTTTTGTCCACGTTCGGGAAGGCTTTCTACTCGGATCTGCCGTGTGCGCCCCCGATGTTGATCGAGCATGGGTTTTGCCGTGGCCGTGGAAGAGAGGATGCAATTCTAGTAGTGCAGCTTCTCAGTTGGCGGCTCCGTCGGGCGGGGCATAGGTTTGCATGCGCGTATAAGGACATGACGAATGCGTGCGCGTGCGGGTCCTGGGAGGAGTTGACTAACACGGTAAACTTACACGCGGCCCCCGAGAACATAGACTTATGTATTCAGCGCTTTAAGAGTAGTGTGGTACGACTGGAGTCTCTGGAAGGGGGGGTCTACTTGAAGTCGGGCGAGGGTGGCACGATGGGGGACCCGTGCGTAGTTACACTTGTCAGAGGCACGTTCTCTAGGCCAATCATGAAGTGGCTCTGGCGGCTCCGTCAGATCGGCCCTCACGCGAAGGAGTTGATCGCGCACTGGAAAGAGCTCAGGGCGGATGTCGGTACGAGCGTGTACGCCGACGCCCTTTTCAGAGCCCATGTTGCAGCCACTTTTTCCACGGTGGGAGAGTTTCTTTCGGTCCTCAGGGAGGCGGATGAGGCGCTTGCGGAGGAGTTGCAGGAGTACGGGCATGCCCAGAATGTTTCGAAACAGGAGCTGCAACTATGTTTCCAGGGACCAGGGGCAGTGAAATGTCGGCAGTGGGTGCGGGGGACGGGACGTTCGAGCATCTCGGGAGAAGTTCAGGAGGACGTTCGGTATTTGGGACCTAGAATTAATCTGCAGCAAACGGCATTTATAGAAGTTCGTCGTCGGATCCAGGCCACAGCGGAGGCCTACTATTCGCTCGGCCAGGTATGGAGTTTATCAGTACCGTTCCGCTGGGAGCGGACTCTATTTCTCAGTTGTGTTCAGAATGCTGCGCTGACGGGCCTGGATCCAATGCTGTTGACCGCCAAACATTATCGAGAATTGGACGCACTTATAGCTAGATATGGGAGGAGGGCGATGCAGGGGAAGGCGGTGATCAGCAAGGAGGAGGGGAAGATGAGGACGCTCACACACAAACAGGTCATGCAGCATTGGCGTCTAGCAAGTTCTGCCACAGAACTTCTTGTTCTCAGGTTGGGCTGGTATCGCAGCTGGGCCCTTCGCCCAGAGTCTCACACGCAGGAGTTGTGCTTGCTTTTCGGCACGATGCCACTTGATCCAGGAGGTACAGCGCTCTCTGGTAATCAAGTTTTACTGTCTCAGGCGCCCCCATGGCTCGTTCGGCTACAGGAAGACTTTCAACATGCCGCCGAGCGGATGGACGAGGGGCAGATCTGCGCGCACATTGCACGATTCCCTGGAAAACTCATCAGTAAGGAAACGGTGTCGGCTCTTGCTCGACTAGACTTCACGGAGATCCGATCCAGGGAGTTGTCGGTCACGTTTCCCCCGACCGATGGAGAGGCTCCGCTCGACAGGGACCCCGAGGCTGAGGACCCCCTTGAATTCCCTGAACATCTTTGGAAGTGCGACTGGGAGGAGGAGGAGGGGCGCATATGCGAACGGGGCTTCCAAATTAAACGAGACCTGCTAAACCATATGCGTCGAGTTCATCAAGTACATAACTTATGTTCGTCAATTACACCAACAAACACCTGTATTGTATGCCGTCGAGTCTTCGGGTCGCAGGGCAATGCATACAAACATCTACAACGGGCTGTCTTGGCGGGGAGGTGTCCTGCTCGTGGTACTTCGACGTTTCGACAGGTCCAAGTCCCAGGAAGCTTCGATTGTAAGATATGTGTGTACAAGGCGGGTGGGCTCGATGATCTCTGTAGCCATTTGGCTGAGTGTCATCTTCCACGGACGGTTGAAGCTAACCTCCTTCCCGAGCAAAGAGTTGCCGACGATGCCAGTGGAGGGGGAGGAGAAGCTGGACGTTCCAGAGTGGATGCTGGCCCCATCATCAGAAGGGGGACCCGCCAAGCACCGTCGAACCGCAGGCAGAAAGGGCGACCTCGGCAAGCTCGCGGGCTCCACGCTGTCTCAGCTCATCATGATTCTCGCCAAACTGGTATTATCGGACAGTCGGCAGCTGGCCGAGTTGACGGCCACAGTGTACAGAACGTTCGACCTCGACGCAGGCACGGGCTTGGCATCAGCAATGGAAGAAGCAGGACAGGGGTACAACGACGTATCAAAAAGCCTCAAAGAAAAGTCGGCAAAAGGCGATCAGGTCAACTGGAAAGCAAGGGGGCCACCATTCGTGCAGATATTTATGGCATCTATGCTATGGGCGGCGCAGCAAGCGGACAAGAAGGACGCCCCAGTG